GGTGGCAAGAGCAGAAAAAGCACTGTGGAGCAGAAAGAGTAGGAACAATGCAAAAAAAAGGGCTGGAAAATAATCAGGGGAGTTAAACTCTCATAAACAAGCTCAGGAAGAAAACCAGTATTTGTTTTTATTACATACAATAACCTGAAGATGAAACAGGCAACTAACAAGTTGCATCCAACCACTATGAGACTCAGCACTTCTCTCGGTTTGTGCCTTCCCTTAGGATCTCCCTCCCTGATACGTGGGAGCAGTAACCTGTTTATTGAGGAAGAAAGGAAGTGAGAAGCAGCGTGCACCAGTGAAAATGACAGTCCATGAATCAGAGCGGGGTTTGGATTGCTTTATAATAAGCCAGTGGTGGAAAAAGGGAATTCTCCCAAGCAGTTTTATTTACTTAGTTTCTATGGGATTAAGTTATTAAATGAGAATGCAGGTTTGCAGCTTTCTAAAAATATAGTATTTGTTTCTTATAACTACTGCAGAGGTCCGTCCTTTTGCTAGAATCCTTAAAGGAACCAAATATGGGTTTTGCTAGAGTAATGTCACCAGTTAGCCTGTCTTCCAAGCTGGGGGGTGAGAGGGGAGGGATTTTGGTAGTAACTTTGTCTTAGGCTCTAATCCTGCAATACAGATTCTGCTGCACTTTTGATGTAGACTCTTCATACACTCAAGCAGGAGAAAAGTGTGTGCACTGAAGATGGATGGGTCACATCCAAATTTCAAGCACTGGTAATCAGATAAAGAGAACACAGGAAAAAAAACCCACAGATTCCTTGCAATGTAAAGCAACTTTTTCTCCTACCCAAGTAATTGCATTAAAAAAAAAAAAAAATTACAAAAACATTCCTTCCAGATAATTTACTTCATGGGCAAACTGGCAGCTAAGTGAGGCACATAACATGCCTGTTCTCAAAAGTAATCAGAAATCAGCAGGTCAATAAAGGAACATTCACTCCGGGGCCTTGACACATACCAGATGAAAGAATTTTATTTGCCTCAGTCATTTGCTGTAGAAGAATTAGTGTCATTGTGATACATCATCAAAGGCATCGTTGTCTCCTGCTTTTTGTTCCATAACCGTTTTTCATAAATATTCTGAATTTATATCTTATTCCTAATTTAACTTGAGCCATTACCAGGTTGAAAGAATGCTCATCCTCCTTGCAGAGAGTAAACCGTGCCATTTTTAAGGTTTATTTTGCTTTATATACTTGTAATTGCAAAAGTAACAATTGGCCATAAATTATGCATAAAAGAATTATCCAGCTGTTTTGAAATTTCAGCCCCAGCACTGAAGTATCGCTAACGACAGTGACGCTGTTCAGATCAGACAGCAAACCCATTTGAAATTATCCCTGGTAAACACTTGAGCTCCACCTTCAAACAGAGAAGAGTTTCCTTCCAGTCTGTTTGTATTATCCCTAACCTCTTTGTGCTCCCAACGTGATAGCTAAGCTTTGTTAGGCTCATTTTTGGTGTACTTTGTTCCTACGAATTTTTTGTACTGTGGTTTTATCACCATACATTCATGATCTGATCATTTGTTTGCTTGAGGCTCCTCTCTTTTTGTCCGGAATCTCAGCTGTCACTTGCACAGGTCAAATGGATCTTTGCTCTCTGCTGCTTATTGTCGCGCAGTATCCTGATGCAGGTCAAGAAACTGCACTTAGCTCTATGCAATCCTTTTTTGTTTGGTTTGCAATAGAGACAGGTTTGCTTTCTAGTTAATTATTGCTAATCTACCCGGACAACCTCAGAAAGAAAAATGAGAAAGCCTTCAGAAAGTTCAGTCATTCTTGTCCACATATCTAAGAATAGCATAAATATTTCACACTAAAGATACGTATCTGCAAATGCTGTGATAAGCTGGCACATAAGGGTTTGTTGAGAGCTGCAAGGAATCTTTCCTCTATCCTCCAAGTGAAAAGGCTGCAGCCTGTGCCTAGCAGAATTCTTTCGACAAGCCAGCAGCTAGCAAGACCCATTCCCCCCCAGCATGTGTGGCCTGACCGAAGGCACTCACCCGCACCCAAGTCCTGTAATCGCTCATAGAGCAGAATCCCCAGGAGTTTCTTCTACAGGGCTCCCTTTCAGCTGTATCCCAAATAGAGTATCCCAAATTTACGAGCTTAACATCAACCTAATCACAATATTAAATGAACTTATAAATCAAAATTAAACATTTATTTTAGTAAGATATCTTGTCAGGTTTCTACTTACAAGATCAAAACCAAAGCAACGGCTAAGTTTAAGAGGCACCCCCCCACACTGGCCACTCGACGAGGGTTTGAACCTTACAGGAGTGTCTTAGTCCCTAAATAGCACCCCAGAGCTGGATGGCTTCCTCTGGCTTTAGCTTCAAGAGTATTTCTTCTACTTCCTCCTCCCTCTCCGCAGGAAGCTTGCAAGGATTAGCTCCAGCTTTGATACAGCATTCCTTGGGACATTACCCATGTCTCATCTTCCTGACAGGAAGTCTTTTGTCTTGCAGTTTGAACGAAGCCCTCCTCCACAAATAGCGGAGTGTACATTTTAAAATGGTCCCTTGACATGACAATATTTCACGTATTACACACCACAAAAGCATTACTTGTGCAATAGTTCTGTTAAACTCATTATCTTGTGTGTCATTTGCTTTCCATACTATTAATATGGCTGTGGAGACTTGGTAGCAGACCTGCTGTTTGCTGTCAAATTTAGGGGTTTGCTGTGTAACAAATATCACTCCTTAAAGTGGATGTCATCATAAATGGACCCAGATTATAGAGTGCGAACATCATGACACTCTGATTCCCATTCCTGTTTTCAGTAATCACTCGTGGCTTTTTATACGACCACTGCAGAGAACAATAGTCTGGAAATTATTTTCAGTGCCTGATGAGCTTTTTTTCTTAGAAGATGTCCTAATTTCAGGTGCTTAAGAAGGTCATATTTATGAAATCCATAATATTTTGCAGGAAACCAGACTGACAAAATTATTCTGCACTGAATCGCTGAATGCTAGTCTGTGTGCTTGGATACGATTTCTCAGCAGCCTTCACATTTTACAACTGAAAAACCTTAAGAGTATCGGCAAGATTCAGTTTGTTGTTCACATCCTCCTCCAAATCACTGACACTGAACTAACACTACTGAGCCGTTGAGGTCCTTGCTCTTTAGTTAGAGTGGAACTTAGGAGTTAAGTAAGGTGTGAACATACTACATAGCACTGTGTACTTCACTGATAAGATTATGCTTTATTTATCCAATTACTGGCCTGCCTTTACAACCAGTTTTCCTTGAAATGAGACTCAATTTAGTCCTTAGGATGTCCCACGGACCCTTTGGAGGGAATTTACTATCTTTAAGAAAAGGGTTTCCAAGCTATTTTACATATCTGGGGCAATGTCTATGGGTTTATTCTTTCTTTCAGAATTCTCTAATGAACACAAGAAGATCAAAATTTAGAGAAATATTCCAGACAAGGATAGGACTTATTCCCAGTGGTATATTTAACATTTTTGTTCTAGATTCAACAGTTTGAGGCAAAGGCACTTTCTCTATTTCCCTTGAAGATAATTTCATAGTCAACCTGCTCCATTAATATATATTTCTGATTTTTGTCTGAAGTAGAGTTTCCTTAATCTCATCCCAATATTTCTAGTTCTTTTTCCTTGCACCATGGTGAGTAATTAGTCCCCAACTCCCATAAGCAGTTATACTGTCACGCAGTGACTGTTTTGCCTGGCTTCTACACTTGTAGACCAATTTAATTTTTCTTTACAAGTCTCTTCCACCACCAGTTTTGCTGATGCTCTTGAGCATCTCCGTAGCTGTATACCTTCTACAGACCTTCACCGAAATGTGTTCCAGCTGTTGTCTCACCAGATGTGATAAAGACCACCCCTGTTTCAAATGTTACAAGTCCAGCATAGCTGTTTGGTTTCAATAATGTACTGCATTTCAAATTGAGGCATATAGCTCTGTCTGAGCACTGCAGAGCTAAGGAAAACAAGTGGCACAGACGGTGGGATCCAGTGCACACTCAGCAGGTTTGCAGACAACACCAAGCCAAGTGGTGCAGTTTATACTCCTGAGGGAAGGGATGCCAGCCTGGGACCTGGACAGGCTTGAGAAGTGGACCTGGTTTTAAACTAAAAGGAGGCAGATTCAGACTAGAAATAAGGAAGAAATTATTCTTACAATGAGGGTAGAGAGGCACTGGCACAGGCTGCCCAGAGAGGGGGTAGATGCCCCTCCCTGGAAACACTCAAGGTCGGGTTGGATGGGGCTCTGAGCAACCTGATCCAGCTGAAGGTGTCCCTGCTCACGGCAGGGGGTTTGCACTAGATGACCTCTAACGGTCCCTTTAAACCCAAGCTATTCTATGAATCTATGTTTCATCAAGGCAGGACCTTCTGAAAGATCCCTCCACCTGGACCTTCCTCACCATCTCCTCCTCATCTTCCAAAGGCTGCTGAAAGCTTACTGTATGTTATTGGGGCCAGAACATTTAAAACAATTTTTCTCATGATTTATGTGCTATATTTTGCCTTAGCTCTACTAGAGGGAATAGTTGATTCTTCTGGGAAATGTGCCCAGATTATATTTAATTTTGTCTACAGATTGTACAGTTTCCCAGATACTATACCAGAGATGAGCATTTTTTAAGTTAATAAAACAATAAATAAAATAAAATCTGTTCTCATGTCTCCATGTAATAACTGGAACCTTAAAAGCCTTGCCCTGTTTTATAGAAGCTTCTCTCTATTACATACAGGGACTAAAAATATTTACCTTATTTTTTTATCACTTCAAAATAATATTATATAACTTATAGGATCCCCCCAGAAACACTTCAAATTTAACCTTAAATTTCTTAAACAAATGGCTAAAATAAAGTTCCACTATTGAACGCATTATGTATTGGTTATATTAATAAGGAATCACTTTGGATTCCACTGATATACTTTACATAATTATACTATTTTTAGAATAAAAAGAGGAAGAAAACTTACTGTGTATTCTGATATCCAATTGTCCATTTGTAAAAAGAAGAATGATGAGGGAAGAGAAAAAAAAAAAAAAGAAATGTGAAATAAAACAATGATGCAAGATCCTTACAATACACATACATCAATAACAAAAAACTTGTGTCAGATAATCTCCTGATTTATATTTGACTAATGTCCATGGGACAATAAAGGGTACAATCAGCACAAAATGTAAGAACCTGACGGTTTAATTGCATAGATACAACACTCCAGCTTTTGTCTATCCACAGTTTATAATATTTGTTTCCTGGTATCAGTCAATGTAAGATGGAAAAATATATGCAGTTCAACAGGAGTTGTTACAGAAACCTGCTAACTGTGGCTCAATATGTAACTTGGACCTTCTGAAGACAAGCTG